ATATATAATGTATAATTTTCAGGATATGGATGACGTCGCTATCAACAATAGAATACAGAAGCGTTCTTTGGAAGAAGCAGCGCTGCAAGACTCCGAGTTCCTGACCCACTCAATTCCTAGTTTGAAGAACCACATACTATTGTCGCTCAATGATACAGAAAATAACGTCAATTCTAATCTGGAAGACAACCTGGATACATTTCTTGTCGATCTCATGCAAGGATTACAGTGTATGACTCCTGACCAGGAGACGTCTGGCACATGCACAGAGCCGAAGCCCGATCGATTGCACTTCGATTCGAACAATCCAACTTTGGTAATGGAATCTATGTACGCACTTGCTGTAGTTCTGGCCGTTTTACGAATGTCTTCAATCGCCGTCATCGTTGACTTCATTGGACCACTTCAGATTTCTCTGAGCGGCATGGTTATAGACATCCTCAGCTTCGGTGTTATATTCTCGGTTGTTTGGCTAGCATTTTCCATCGGCATGAATCAAGTTCAACATCCTTTCCAGGCTATAGACTACGACAATTGCATTCGATCTATGGCAGACAATTGCCAGCACGGAGCATTTAGCTCGTAAGTTATTTAGTTAAAACTCATGTGACCGGGAACTGCCATAAAAAGTTACGTGACTACATGGACTGCCACTTTATGGATATACCACCAAGAAATTCCAATAAACATTACATTTTTAAAAAATAATTGCTTGTTTTATATATTTCGTTATTATTTATTAGCTTTAAAATGAATCCCCACGAGAAAAACATTTTTTTACTAACTACCGGACGTTTAAATATATACGCCTAATTCAATGATCGTCTGGCATATATGCTATTTCTTAAATTTATGTTAGCAAGAACTAAGAACGTTAGTAAAAATTCAGTAGACACTTAGAGGGATATTAACGCTACAGTTATATCTAAAATGTTTTTTTTGTTTTTAATTATTTTTAAATTTATTTTTCGGAAGACACTGTAACAATTGTCATTTGGCAACGGTTATGATTTGCTCTCTCCTCTTTAGGATTGCGAAATCTTTGGAAACATTTTATTGGACGCTTCTTGGAAATGTTGGCTTCACCACATCATATGTTGGAAATGGACGTTTCGTTTTTAACGAATGGATATCTATTCTCTTCTTCGCGTTTTATTTAATTGTTGGTGTGATTATTCTTCTGAATGCTCTGATCGCTATGATGAGTAACACGTACTGCGCCGTAGAGGTAAGTTAAGGGCACTCATCGCGCCCGCCGGTCTCGGCCGGCCGCAGATGCAATTCTATTATATGGAGAACGTAGCATAATATAGGCCTATATCAATTTTAATGAAAATCAAAGAACTTAAATAGCAGAAGAACGAGCTCTTCGCGTATTTTGCATTATAATCGATGGAACGTCCCCAATGAACTTTGGCTGCGAGCTGATAATAGAATTATTTTCAAAATTATTCTCACTGTTTACAAATGTATCTATGGTTTTTCTCCTATTTATATTGTTTTCTCGACCAACGTATCCCCATATGTACAACACGTTTCTCTTCATCTCCATTTCATTATATCACGTTACAACAAGAGAATTTGAGGTTTTTCATTTCCTTGTTATGCTTCTAAACTTTGGAATAATCTTCCAACTGACATTAGAGATCATATCTCAGATCCTGATCTTTTTAAACGTGCATTTGAGACTTACTTGTTTGCTGCTATTTCCTTTTCTGTTTTATTGTTGTAATCTGTTTATTTGTCCTTGTTGTTTGTGTGACTGTACTATTGTGATGCATAGGGTTCCTGAATAATGACTGATTTTATGCCCACCATTGTTTTCCTGAATTATTGAGGCTTGGCTTGGCTACCAAAACTATATATA